GAAAAATAGCCATATAGATAAGCACTAATATGTGGAATCTAAAAAGAAAGAAAGAAAGAAAGAAAGAAAGAGAAGAAAGAAGGAAAGAGGACACCAATGAACTCATCTACAAAACAGAAACAGACCTGCAGACATAATAAACAATCTTATGTTTAGGAGAAAGAGGGTGGGAAAGGATAAAATTTGAGAGTTTGAGATTTGCAAATGTTAACCACTATGTACAAAAATAGACTAAAAAAATTTCTTCTGTATAGCACAGGGAACTCTATTCAGTATCTTGTAATAACCTTTAGTGAAAAAGAATATGAGAATGAATGTATGTGTATAGATGCATGACTGGGACATTATGTTGTACACCAGAAACTGACACATCATAAGTGACTATATTTCAATATAAGACAAAACAGACAAAACAAAACAAATAACCAAAAAAAAAAAATCCAACAAAATACTATCACTCTAATGTGGTACATTTAAGCTCACTAGTTTCATTCTCAACCCATGACCAGAATTCACTTGCCTCTGTGTTTGTCCATCTTTCTTACTGTCTTGTGTTATCTACAAATGTGTCTACAGTGTCTCTAGTGTGAAAAATTTGAAGGCACAGATGGGGTTTGTATTCTTCTTTATTCAGAACATGGTAGATGCTTAATAAATGTCAAATCATAGAGTCTTACTCACAGACACGACCTGAACCAGGAGGGAGATGGGGTGGAGCTAGAAGGAGAGCATTAGCTTCCCGGGGCCCCTGCTTGGGACTGGTTGTGCGTGTAAGCCTCGTTGGAGGACAGGCTAGCTCGGGGGCCCCCAGCAGGCTCACTTTAGGGAATGGGCAAAGCTAGGTGCCGACGCCTTCCACTGAGAGCGCCAGTCCCCAGTGCCATCCTACATGTGATGACATTTCATTGTACTGAAAATGATGGGACCTAGAGACTCCTGTGGGCAATTATAATGAGGAGTGGTCTTGGGGAGATGGAGAGAAGCAGAGAAGCTGAATTCATCCAAGGCAGAGCTCCAGAAAGAAGCTTCAGCCTTAGGTAGGGGCAGTAGGGGTTGGGTAGCTGTGAGTTGACCTCCAGGAAATGCCTTCATGACGTGTGAAGTCTCAGGAGCATGGGTTTATATGGTGCAGGTCTGGATGGGGATAAGGAACGGGTGGTACATGGAGACCAGAGTTCCTTTGCCCTCCTACTAATGCTTAGTGTGTGTGAAGCCTTTTGGAGAAGCAGTTCCAGTCATTCCTGATGCCTGAGGGGAAGGAGAAGAGGAAGAGAAGGAGGAAGAAGAAGAGAGCAGGGAGCAGGAAGTGAGGGGAGAAGAGTCTGGTCTCTGAGCCCCACAAATCAGGTGCTCTCTGTCCAAGGTCCTGTCCTACTGGGGAGAGATGGGCTTCACACCAGTCTCTCTGTTCCACTAACGCGGACTTTTCCCTTCCTTCATCCAAACTACACATCAGTGCTGCCTCCTCCTGGGAGCCTTCCCAGATGAAGCAAGTAAGTCCTGATAATCCTGTCCTGCTGGGGCTGGGGCTCCAGGAGCTGCTCCCATTCTGGCTTTGTCCTGTTTTCTGCCCTAGTTAGGTACTCATCCCTCACCCTGCATCCCAATCCTACTCACCTTTGTCCTACCTAGGATCTGACGCCTTTGGGGATTGTGCTTGTCATCCCAATATCCCTTGTAATTGCTCATCTTTTTAATTTGCTCAACAATTTCCTGAGTCCCCAGTGTGTGTCAGGTATTGGGAACACAGAGGCAGGCAAGACGCTGTTCCCAACATCAGGGAGTTTCATCGGCATGATTTTACTTAGCTGTGCCGCCAGCAGCAATTCTGAGATGGAAACATTCGGAAGGGAAGGGCTGTATTTAGATCAGAGGGTCTCCACTCCAAGCCCAGACCACGTGCGTGGATATAACTTTTCATGAAAAATGAAGGAAAACTTTTCACTCTGCCGAAACCTTTTCCCTGAGGTCCCTTGATAATAACATAAACAGCTCCCCTTTTGCATCTAAGGGACAGCCGGGTTTATGAATGTTTTATTCTCCGCACTTGTCTCAGCCTGTTCTGTAAGGTGAGGTCCAGACTGAGAATTCTCTGCGCTCTTTGTGAAAGGGCGTTAGGTGAGGATGTGAACGCAGGAAGTTGTGATCTGATCCACAAAACAAAAATGAGTGGGATTTTGTTTTCCTCCTGTTTTCTGTTCTCCCCAAACAAAACATCTATTCCAGTGGTCCATAGATTGTTTCATTCAACAAATATGAGCATCTTCTTTATGGCAGGGATGGTATCAGGCTTCAGGAATGCAGAAGTGATAAGTTCCCTGTCATCAAGGAACTGTTTAATAGAAGAGATAGGACAAGAATTTAGGTGACTTTGACCATGGGCAGCTTTAAAGGCTGTGAGAGGCGTCTGTGAAGTTCAGAGGATGGAGGAGTCAGATGTGGCTGGGAGACCTGGCAAGTCTCGATGGAGGTGATGGCACTGAGCAGGATGACGAGAGTCGTGGTGACAGGTGGGGGTGGACAAGAAGGAGCCTCCTCAGACTTGGATGATGATCTTGGACTTGATCCCCACCTCCAGTCCTAGATAGAGCTCAGAAGCTGCCATAGCCCCATTCAGCTCCCCAGGGATGTCCTCTAGATCTGATCAGTGGACTCACCTTCCCTCAGGCCAATCTGAAAGCCCCAGCTTTTTGGTCACTCACTCACCTGGGGCTCCCTCTGACCCACCCCCTGTTGCGTGCTGCTGAGGAATCTAGCCCTGGGGATTGTGAAACATCTGGGCAAATGATCTGCTCCATGGCTGCCCTCCAATAGCACTTAGTCCAGAGACTTCTGCTGGAGGCTGTATAAAAGGTCCCTTCCTTCCCAGCCCCACAGGGCCTCCAGACTCCGCCTGGGATAACCTGTCCACACATCTGCCTCCAGGGTGAGGCTGCTTCTGAGGGGGGAGATGCTTGCCTGTCCCTCACTCAGATGCTGCTAAGGCAGACCCATCCTGCCTCTTGTTTCTTCCCGGGAGGTTGACACACCAGGTAGGAGAACTTTGGGGCAGAGAGAAGGGAAGGGAAATGCAAAAGACCCCAAGGGATCTAACGTGGGAGAAACCCACTGAAGCGAGAGGGCCAGAGCAGCAGAGAAGATACACGCAGGCTTAGGAACCTCAGGGCAAAATAAAACTGAGTGAAGAAAGAGACTCAACCCTCTCTTACACTTGACCACGGAGGACACTGGCCTGGGAAAAGTGGACTGTCAGCTCAGCTAGGTTGCAGTTTATTTTTCTTATTTATGAAAAAGAGTAAGTTGTTAGCTTAGTTGTTGGTGAGGGGGTCCCCTGGGAGTTCCCATCATGATTTACTCCCCCTTTTCAAACCCATTTCCCCCTCCTGGAGTGGATTCTAGCATATGGAGAAGAGAAACAGACACGCCAAGCCCCTGGGCCCCCGATCGAACCCAGTGTTCTTTTTCCTTCCAGCTTCCACGGGCCAGCCCGGCGATGTCGCAGCAGAAGCAGCAATGTCAGGAGCCTCTGCGTGCTCTCAGATGTCCCCGTCCCCGAGGCCCAACCCCCTCCCGGGGTTCCTGCCCTGCGCCTTGGCCTCCCTGCTCAGGGGGCTGTGGTTCTGGTCCCCAGAGGCCCCGGGACCCGAGCCCGGCTGGCTCTCAGAGGACTTGCCGCAGACAGCCCCGCTGCCTCAGCGGTGGCACCGTCCACCACATCAAAGAGGAGGAGTGTTAAGGTGACCAGCGCAGAGGAGGGGACAGGAGGACAGCTGCTCTCGCCCTGCCCCGCCCGGGTGGTCTGGCACCCCTTCCCCTGAAGCCCAGGCCCCTCCCCCTCATCCGGGCTGGGAAGCACCTCCTGGCCCCCAGCATTCATGGGCTGAGAACCCGGCTAAGCTGCCCTTCTGCTTCTGCCTCCCACCCACCCCTTCAGCTCAGCCAAAACACTACCTTTCAGCCTTGCTGCTCCGAGCAGACATGCAGAGATCTCTGCCTGTGGATGCTGCCCTTCCTTCCTTCCTCCTAAGACAGCTGGTGGTGTTTAAAAGAGACAGATGGTGGGAGGCTTATGTCTGTCTGAGTTCTCAGCATCCTCACAGCCCCCGATCTGCATCACCCCGTGATCCTAGCACCGACGGCTTCAGCGTAATAAACAGCTTCTGAAAACCTGCTGTGTACTGGGCTCTGTGTTCACAGATGTAAGTGGGAGATTTGTCTCTGCTGTAGAAAAGCTCACAATCTCGTGGTGGAAGCCGTATCCACTTGAGACTGAAATAGGTGGACTGATAATTACCATTTTGCGCTGATTGCCACACTTAATTTTCTCCTACCATGTGTCTAAAAGGACTTAAAGGAGAAAAAAGTACGAAAGATCAAGGACCGCAAGGGAAGACTCATCCCGATGGTGTAGATCAGAGGGGGTTTCCTGGGTTTTGCAAGGAGAAATTCAAAACAGAGGGGGCGCACCACTTGGGGGAGAGAAAATTAGGCTCCCTGAGGTAGGTAGCATTTAAACAGGGCCTCTGAAGATCTGCTGACTTTGGTGCTGGGGGTGGAATGAGGAGGAAGCGCCTTCCCGGTGGGAGGCACAGCATAAACAAAGCAAAGCAGGCGCTCGCCAGTGATGTGAGTTACAGTTTGGCGGACTGCCGGGTGTAAGGCGATCGTGTGCGACGTTCATAACTCCAGTTCCTTATGATAACTCGACCAGCTGAACTGTTGAACTTAAGTCATAAAACTCCAGCTGGCAAAAGACGGTACCTCTGGGCATAGTCTAGGCCCCAGCTCAGGGTCTGTCAGCCTGGGACTGCGGTGACCTGAGGCAAAGTAGGGAGGTCCGGAGGGGCTTGAAGCTCAGCTGTGTTGCATATCAAACTAAGTTCCATGTACAGATGTAGCTGGTTCTTATTTTCTGGGGGTCACTGAAAATATTTTTTTAACCCAGTACCCAACCCAGTGGATTATATTGCCCAGGCTCAGAGCAGAATATCAGGCTGTCCAACATTTCCGGTACAAAGGATGCTCATTTCCAGAGTTCTGCAATCCTGATGGCTAAGACATGATTTTGCCTCTGTTATGAAATATATATATATAAAGGTATACATATGTAGTCTAATTATATATAATTATAATTTTAAATGTGCAATTTTTCTCATTAAGCAAATGATGCGTACTTGCATGTTCATGTGGATAACTATATGCAAGTTGATTGAGACCAGCCAAAAATCTTATCACCTAAAAATAACCTACTGCTAATAGGTTCATGGATATATTTCCAAACTTCATAAAAATCACAAGTGAGACCATTTCAGAATATCTTATAACCTGCTTTTTAACTTAACAGTATAATTGCCAACACTCTTCCCTGCTTATATATAGTGATCAACACTATTGCATTGTATCGTGTGAAGGCCGTGACTTTGTGTAACTAGCTCCCTGGTACCCAGCATTAATGTTGCTTCCACTTTTTTGCTCCCTAAACATCAGTAAAATAAACATTCTCTTTGGTGATTATTCTTAGTAATTTTTCTAAGATAAACTTTTAGAATTTAAATTCTAGAATTTGCCAAAAGACTATGAAGGGGTTTTTTTTTTCCAGGCTCTCCAGGGAAATTGCATTTTGGGAGCCATTAAAACGACTCCATTTCAGAAAGTTCTTTTTGGGAAAGGGATGTCCTTTGTTCAAGAGTGTAAGTACTGTGTTTTAAAAAAAGAAAATTACCCTCGCACAGGGAAAATCCTTTTTGCGAAAAGAAACACTTTCTGAGAAACTCAACAAGTATCGACCTATTTTACTGTCAAGAAATTTCCACTTTAAAACAGAAAGATTAGCTGCTTTCTCCTTTGGAGGGAAATAGGATGCTTTATATTGTGTTAAGCAGTGTCTCAGGAATCTTAACAAACCAGTGCTCGACCTTCCATATTTAGCTGATAGATTTTCTGATTTTAGATGTTCATTTATGTTTGTGTGAGAGATTTTTGGAAACGAAATCTCACTTTTCCCTAAAAAAAAAAAAAGCAAAATATCAAAGCTTGGTTGATTGTGTAAAGCTTAATGTCTAATATGGTTTTTTCTATTTTTTTATCCTGCTGTTTCTTGAAAACAGATATTCACTAAACAAAAAGTTTTTTCTTAAAGTTTTGACAGAAATAAACTTTCTTTGACAAGAGTATTACTTAATATTTTGACTTTTTCAGATTTTCCTAGTACTTGGATTCCCTGTGCTAACTGTAGAACTTATATCGCATTAACACACAGTTCAGTCTGTACCAAACGGACTTTGAAATTACAACATTGAAAATAAAGTAATAACTTGATCACTGTTTTTCTTCACAAAGATCCGCGTTTGGCATCTTCACATTTTCTAAATGACTGTGCATCAGAATTGTCAATACTATGAATGTCTTTTTCGTATGGCTTTAGCACTTTTAACATTGTACATACACTGCATCTTTGTTTTCTAGTAACAAATAATGAAAAATGAAGACTTCACATTTTGTGCAAAATATCCTATATGCAGTCTCTTACAAGTTTATAGGGCCAGCAAAAATAGGTAAAAGGTACAATCATTTTTCTTTAGAATATATCTAACTGGCTCTTTACAAATGTTAAATATTTCCATATTTTAAATATTTTCTACTTAGAAAAATTTGCTGTTGACAGAGCATTTGATGTTTAGTATGCTCTTTTGTCTAATCTTTTTTAATGTTAAATACAGTATTGTATGGACTAAGTAAACAACATGGAATAAAAAAAAAAGAAAGAATCAAAAAAAAAAGTTGCTAGGTGTTTAAAAGAGCTCCCCAAGGACTGCAGAAGACCCCCGAGTGAAGCTTTCAACAGCACTCTGCCCGCTCTGACCCAGTCCCGGTTCCAGCCTTCCAGCAAGTGGGAGCTGGAGTTGACCCCAGTGATCTAACGCCAGGCCAGCCTCCGCCCCAGAGTGCCCAGCTCTTCCGGGGTCTCCAGCCAGGACAGGTGTGTCTGCCTGGCCCTGTGGTCCACCTGGAGTGAGGCTGGCCCAGCCGCCCCCTCGTGCGCTTTCAGCAGCTCTTAGTTTGTACAGTGTCTGACAGACGGTATTTTATTGTGACATATTATACACACTTCATAATACAGCAAAGACAGTAATAAACAGTCCTTATTTTATTTATTTCTTCTATAAAACTGTCATAAAGAAAATATTAAAATCAAATCATCCTAAGGTGAAAGAAGCTATGTGGTGCTAATTTCCTCTCCTGTTCAGTGGGAAGCCAAGAAATGCTGCCTAAACTCGGCAGGTGAAGAAACAGAATTTTAGTTACATTCTATAAGGTTGCAGAGGTCGCCAACAGTAGTATGAAAAATATAACCGCATCTAAGTAAGGAGGCGGGAAGGGGGGATGTATGTAGGAGGTGGTGGTGGTGGAGATGAGAAGAGCGTTGTGAAGTCAGCCCTTCCCAGTCACTGACACGTTCTCCTGATATTCTTTGGAATTTATAAATCTTTAGAGAAACGCAAGCACAGATCCTCATCACTGGCGGACATCGGACTAGCCCAGTAATTACAGTAGTAACAACAATAGCGATTCACGAAGAGCGACGGCAACCGTCTGTATTTACCCAGAGCTCGCTGTGTACAAGGGCTCTTCCGACCCCCGTGTACGTATTATCCACGTAATCGCCACAGCAGCTCTGCAAAGTAGGTGTAATTTTACCACTATTTTACAGAAGAGTAAGTGAGGCACAGAGAAGACAAGTGACAAGCCTAATGTTGTACAGCTAATGAAAGACAGGACCTGTGCCTGAAGCTGGGCGATCTGGGCGCAGACACTGGACGTTTAACCACACGCGGCCTTCCCAAGAGGACAGTGCTGGGTTGAGCACCATCTCCTCTCTCTGCCCTGCGTCCCCTCTCCTCCTCTGCCCGCCCCAAGCCTGAACACTGGGGAAAATTAATAGACTTTAGATTTAATGCTGATTCTGCCACTATTTTAACTCTGTGAATTGACTCTGATCCTGCAACTCTCTTCTGTGAAATGAAGCCATCTAACCCAGCCACGTGGCATGTTCTGTGTGTAATGAATTCCCCCATCCAGCACGTAAATGAGTACCGACCGCACGTCAGGGGCTGCTTGTTGAGGCATTAGTACTTCTTTCTCATCTGATCTCATGCAATTTATTAGAGAAACATATAAACATGTTTGTTCTAACAAAAACAACAGTCTGAAAAGAAATGGTCTACTTTGTGAGGTAGTGAGTTCTCCAACTGAAAGCATTTTGTTTGAAGCCAGGAAGCTCACCATTGGGCACATGGGAGAGAAAGGGCAAGCACTCGGTAGAAAACTGATTAGATGCTTGCTAAGACCCTCCAGGGCTGGGTGGTTTTGTGAGTTGCCTGTACGCCTTACATCCTTCAATTGTCTATGAAGATCCCTGGAGGAGCTCGGAGTAGGAGGCTGAGGCAAAGGCGTTGCCAGAATGTTCCATGGGCTGACTATCGTTCTGTGTACTACCAGAACACTCTGGGACGATACTTCCCAAACTAGCAGAATTATCCAGGAAATATTTAAACAATGCAAATGCTCCGGAACCCCTCCTTGGGGATTATAAATCAACAGGTCTTAGTCGAGGACCAGGAATCGGCATTTTTGAAGTGCTTCCCAGAGGGCTCCGATGTACAGGTTTAAAGTCTCTCTTTCAGCCAAGGCTGAAAGAACATTTTCCTCGCTTCATGTAATTCCTTGCTGGGTTGACCCTATTGCTCTGAGACTGTGTGACTTTCATTTGCTCTTAAACTCTCCGATATCAGGTTTTCCATAGGCAGTAGTATTGGAGTCACGTTGCTGTTACGAGGAGAAGGTAAAACATGTGAAATGCAGTACAGATGTGGGGGGATGTGAGGGACTCCCCTTGTGTGGCTCCTATCTCTAAAGGGTGAACGGCTTAGAATCACAGGTTCACGGAACAACAAAGCAGAAACTCCTGACCTGCAGATGAGAGAGCAGGTCCCAGGCTGAGCAGCTTGCCTGAGGCTCCTTGATGGCCGCTCCCTAGCCTCACATATGGGATAGAACTGGCCTTCCTGAAGACAACGCTCCTGGTCCAACTGGAAGCTGAGTTTTGGGGGAGGGGTGCTGTCACCATCCCAGTCTTTCTCTTAAGACGTGTTAATTGCAAGTTGAAGCCTGCGATCAGCTGGGTTATGGCTTTTGGGCACAGTGGTGAGAATGGTGGTGAGGTCGTTAGCGTGGGGCTGTGATGAGCCAGACATACTATCAGCACAGCAGTCTCAAAGAATGAGAACCGAGGATGGAGCCAAAGACCTTGGTGAACATCAGAAGAGAGGGGGAAGCTAGCCAGGGGTGAGAAAGCTCTGTCTCATAGGCTGCAGAGTCTCATTTCTTGGAAGATTTAGACGTATCTTCCTGAGATCTTTGCCTGGAGGAAAAGGGTAGGTAAGGAGATCTCTCTGCATCCGTTCTGATCTTAAGACTAGAAAGCGTCATTTGTTGGTGACTCTTGTAAATGTAAGCCTCAAGAGGAAGTTTTAGTGACTGCCCCACTCACTAGGCCGACAGAGGGGCCAGGGTGGGACCCAGGACCAAAGCGGGATGCTGAGTTCTGTCACCGAGGAGAAGGGTCACCACAGCCACCAAAGACGGTAAGTCAGGAAGTCACTCAGGTCCTGATATGATCGGGCAGCCCCCCAGCACAGGGCTGCCATCGCCACCTCAGACATCACAACAAAAGCAACGGCAACGCTCATGTCACAAGTGAGGGCGCTGAGGCCCGGAAGGGCCAAGTGACCCACAGCTGATCAGTGCTGGGCCCGGGCCAGAGCCCCGGCCATGGCCTGCTGCTTCATCCCGGGGAGGCTTCCTACGGCTGGAGACTGTAGAGGAAGGAGGGATCCTAAGACTGGTACCAGGCGACACTGGTGTGTGACCCCCAGTCTCACAGGAATAGGACTCAGCAACTGGGGACACCTGCAGTGTAGTAAAGAACGGTAAACTTGCCCCGTCCCTACAGCTTACAGAGCCCCTCTGACGCTGGTGTTGGTGTCTTTTAAGCACCGTCCTGTACACGGTGGGCCTATGTCTCTAGTCCACACTAGACAAACAGGGGGGGTGACCGGCTTTTGAGGCCACCTCACAGAATGGACGAGAATGTGCTATGCTGACTAGGTCTTGTTCCTTTCTTCTATGCTCTGATAGGACTGGGCGCAGATCCAGGAGGCCAGGTCGCTGAATATGGGTCATGAACGTTCCTCCCAAGAAGCACACGAGCAGTGCGGGTCCTTCAACAACCCAGGTACGAATCCCGCTGCCCTCGGGAGGACGGCAGGTCCTTCCCAGGGCTCTTTGCCAGAGCCAGAGCCAGACCCACACGTCTGCCTGCCCACTGGGATTCTGACCCACAGGATGACTGTTCAGAGACACGACCACTCAGGCAGAAGGAAGATCCTTATTGTCCTTCCTTTCATCGCTTAGGAATTAGCTTGATAAGAATCTCATGCATGCCACTGCTGGCCTGAGTGGCACCTCACCCTTCTATTAAGGGCACACCCAAGATAGGCAGGAATTCTAGCATGCTTGACTCCTCAGGCAGGCAGAGTGGTGAGGAGGTACTTGGGAAGATGAGGAGAGAGTCCAGGAACGCAAGAGGAATGCACAAGCTGTTCCCAGACAGGTCTCGGCCGAGGGGAGACCCTCCAGACACCTTCTGACCAGTCCGGCTGTCTAGAAGCTCATGCATAAGGAGCTCCCCCAAGTCCAGCTCTTGTCCTCACGACAGACTTGGAGCCTAGCCGCTCACCACAGAAGCCAGCTTGGGGAACCAAGTCAAGGCACTAGACCGCCTAACCCAAGTAGCACTCCTAACATGTAGATCTCATGTCCTTCCTTTACTTAAATGGTCAAAGATGCTCCAGTTGCCTCTGGTCAAACTTCTGTAGACAGCATGATCTAGTTTTCAGATAAAGTCGATTGTGTACCTCCTATACGTAAAGGCAGGTAAAGGTGTGATGACTCCAGCTGCAGCGGGGGTGAGTGGGAGGTCCAGGCTGCTGTTTGCTCAGGCTTCCCCTCCCAGGTAGCCCAAATAGTCAAGAATTAAGAATAAATGATCTTTTAAAACTTGACTCAAAGTTTTTAGGAACCCCCTTATCAGTAGGATGCTGAGGGGAAGGAAGGAAATGAAAACGTATTTTCGATCTACTACTTGTCAAACATTGTTTGCGTTATCTCAGTACGATAGCTCTATGAGGTCTGTATTGTTAATCTCATTTTACAGATTAAAAAAAACTGAGGCTTAAAAACATTAAATAACACACCCACAGTTCAAATGCCAGTGCCCTGGTTCTGAGCCCATCCTCTTCCAGCTTCCGTGCATGCAAAGACATGAAACTGACACAGTAGACAAGGGCTGGGAGGGCCCCAGGACAGCAGCTCATGCTGCCTGCAGGCGCGTCTCGCCGAAGAGGTGGTGTTGGAACATCCCTGGCAACAGCGTTCCTAGGGATCTAGTTTGGAAGCCATTAATCTCTGGGCTAAAGTGTGCGGCCCTGCAAGTAAAGCTCTCAGGGTCCCGGGCCCTCCCTTCCTCTCTGTCCAGCTGGTGCTCTTCTCCAATGTCGTGGCCACTCTCCTTCCAGAAAAGGTCGAGCCCCTTCACATCTCTGTGCCTACGTGTGCGCACTTCCTCCCTCTATCCGGAGTGTCAGGTTCCCTCCCACCCCCGACTGACTCCCACTCTGTTTCTGAGCCTCAGTCTGACTCGAGCTGTCGAATGGGATTACCGAAAACTCAAAGGGATAATGTGTTGGAATAATGGAAAACACATGCCTGGTAGACGGGAGACTGAGAATACATCTTTATTCCCCTCCCTTGCCTCCATGTCGTCCCACCTGGATCATTCTTTGAGGGCAAAGAATTACCTTAATCTTCTTTGAATGCACACAGCCCTGCACATCACAGGTACTCAGTGAAAAAAATTAATGTCATTAAAATGATCATTTCAACGTTACTACCAGAAAGGCATTTCCATTGGGCTAAATAATTTTTCATTATTGACAGCAAGTCATTGAGGATATTGGACCAATACAATAGAACCTTTGAAAATTATTTGTAATACTTTAGTAGGGGCATGCACAGATGGGGCACAATGTTGCCCATCCCACAGATCTGGGCTTCAATTGCTCACACTCTTAGCCAGCAGAGGCACGATTAGGCAAGAATTGCGAATGTACACAGCACTCTGCTTTGACACAGCAAGACGAGTTAAGTAATTTCCTCTAACAAGTGGGATGAACTAAACAGACTATATGAAGGTGCTTCCTCATCGAGTGACTTACCTTCAGATGTTTCACATCCTCACACACACAGCAGCCATCAGCTCTCCCCGTTTTATCAAGCTCACCACCGTTCCCATCCCCAGATGAAATAAACTCAGGGAAAAGAACAAACCAGGGAAGGCAGCACGTGGGTGTGAGCTCCTTGGAGGTCTGACGCTCGTGAATACACACGCACACTTGAAGGCGTACTAGGATTACCTGGCCCGGACCCCTCTGAAACCAAGGGGGAGCCAGGACCAGAGCCCTGACTTCCACCGCCAAGTTCTAGTGGCTGGCCAGTATCAATACCTCCATCCAGGGAGCATCCTCCCACCCCTGCGCCGCTGGTCTGCCACCGACATGGCCTCCCAGGGGGCCCTCTCTCCAGGAGTGAAAGGAGGGAGACCATTGCCACAAGCACAATAAATACTCATAAATTCATTGAACAAAAAAAAATTTTTTTAGCACATACAGGATGTCAGGCACTGTGTAGTGCTGAGGATAAAGTGAACTGGCGAGCACTGAGATTTCATCCTATCCAGGATGACAGATATTGAAAAATAAATACAAGCACAGTGTCATAAGAATTACAGGAAACTGTAGGGGCGATTCGGTTCTTACATGGTTCTCCGGTATAAGAAACAGAGGAGAAAGGACAGGCATTAGGAAAGACAAGGAGCTGATCCTTCTTCCACACAGGAAGCCACGAAGGACGGTTGCAGACACAAGAAGGCTTGAAGACTTGCTGCTGGGAAGCAAAGTCCTGAACACCTGGCAGCTACTGTCTGCCCCGTGGAGCAGGCTGTCTCATTTATCTAGAGGCAGCGGTGGACGTTCAGAGGGTTTGAGACAGGACAGAAGGCATGACGTGTGTGCACGGTGAGTGCAGAGATGTATACAAGCAGTGCTTTGGGCTCAGCCAGACAGATGATTCTCATCCTATGATGATGTCTGTTTTTTTTTTTTTTGTATAGCACCTAGGCATAGCAGGGAGGATTCAGCCACTGTTGAGGTTTTGACAGTCAAGCTTTGACAAGACAAAGGGGCAGGGAATCTCACTATAATGGCAAAAGAGTGGGTGAAATAATAAGCTAAGGGAAGCAAACTAGGAAAGCGAGTAGGGTGGGAGCAGATTCCGGTGGATATAATGAAGCAAGTTGGAAAGAAGGAAACGTGATCAAAGAAAGAGGTGGCTGGCTTCCTGGTCTCAGAGAGTTAGGAGACCTGGCTTCTAACTCAGACTCTGCAGGACTTGGAGCATCTCCTTTGTTCCCGCTGGCTTTCAATTTTGTCACCCATGCATGCAGGGTAAGTAGTGCCCTAACGTCCCCTCCAGATGGGCCTTTCTATGAGGCTACATCGTTGGTCAAGGTCTTAGGCACTTGGGGATCTGAACAGACACACTGATCCTTCAGCAGTGGCCCAAGGATGCTTAGATTATTGGTCCCAAATCTGGCGATAGAGTGTCCAGAAACCCCTATCTGTGTTCTGGGTTGACCCAATATTTGTGGCTTTAGCTTTTCATCCCAAGCATGCTTGGATTCCCCCAGAAACCCTAAGTTCAAGTCCCAGGCGGTGCCATTATAAACTCCCCTGTAAACCATGACCTTCTTATCTTTATGGAAATGCTTCTGAGGTTTATGAAGGGGAGGGACGCTCTGGAAAGGTACTCATGAGCATCCAGTAGTGACCCAGTGTGACAAAGTGACAGAATTATGGAGCCACTGGAATGTGGGAAGTTGTCCTCATGACCACCTGATTGGGAGCTGCTTTCATGTTATTCTGGCTCATCCCCTCGAGCTGGGTGCAGGGTATGTATAAAAGGCCTCGGATCATACAGTCTCCTCACTCCATCAGACACACTATTGCTTGCCCAAGGTTTGAAGAACAAGGTGAGTGTCCTTACTGACCTGATGGCAGTTTGGGGCTGGCCGGGACTGCCACACATCAGCTGAATGGGACAAGCCACTCCAGGTGGGAGAGAATGGGAGCTAACTGGTAACTGCAGGAAGATCAGGAAATCAGGCTCAAAAGTAGTGATCCTAGGGGAGGCAAGTGGTAACCAAAGGTTGGGGCAGGGGTAGGGGAGGATAGTTTGTAGGACAAGAGACAGCCACACAGGACTGAAGAGTAGGACTAAAGACAGAGCCCCTAATGTAAGAAAGAAAAAAAGGAAGATGATGAAGACAGATGGTGTGACCATGGGCTGAGGCTAATCATGTGGTTTCTAGAATGCATAAATCAGAGAGCATTATTTTAAAATTTTTAGGATTTGGGGAACTACCTACGGCCCTACGTTACCACCTTTGAAATCAGGAGTCTTGGGAGAACCAGGACAGTGGGAGAAGGTGTTACCAGAGTCTAACTTAGCCACTGGCTGATTTCTCTGTGCCAGGCCAGCGGGGCTGCTCTGCCCTAGAGATGTGGGCCCTGGACCCACAGCATTACTCACAGAACTTAGGACTGTAAAAAAATACTGCATCAGATGAGGTTTATATTCACTGAACTTTTGAAATATCTGCATTTCTTCACAGAGCAACTGAGCATTCTCCAAGATGTTCTGCCAGCAAAACCAGCAGAAATGCCAGCTCCCCGCCAAGTGTCGCCCCAAATACCCACCCAAGTGCCCCCCTCAGGCCCCGGGTCCCCACCCTGCTCCTGCCCCCTCCTGCTGTGTCCCCAGGTGCTGTGTTTCTGGCTTCAGAAGCAGCTGCTCTCTGGTGTCCCACCGATTTCCGAGAGTCTGCCTCGACCTGGCCCAGCCTTCCATCTGCTGTGAGAGGGAGCCCTCCGCATGTTCCTGCAGTTGCCATGGCCATGGGGGCTACAGATGACCTGCATCCTTTGAGGAGCCCAAGATGCACAGTCAGGGACCAGCCCAGAATGGATGTCACATCTCACTCTCAGCCTCGTTCTTCCCTCTGCTTCTGAGTTAAGCTGCTTAGATGTGTAGGTGATGGATGCCGCTTTTTCCTGAAAATCTCAGACCTCTTGGCCTTAGCTCTGGTCCTAGACCAAGAAGCCCTGAATGCTGGAGAAAACTCTGCTTCCCAAAGCCTCATCAGTGTGCAAAAATAAAGCTTATCTTTCCTGGCACCCAGAACTTCTTGGTATTGAGTAATTCTCCCATGCTTTGCACTGAGCAGCTCCCAGCAACCTGGATTCCTTAAGCAGACTCCCACGAAGAGCCACCCAATGGCGAATTCCTTCTAAGATAGACCCTGGGTCTGAGCAATTTGAGAGGACTATGACAAAAAAGAAAGATCCCAAAGGGAATATAGGGGGATGTTCCCAAAACATCAGTGACCCTGTCCCACTGCAGCTGACACCATCACTGTAAAGGACACCTGCTTCCCCAGAACTCAGCCTCCAGGTCCTTCTTACCTGGGGGAATCACATACTCGAGAAGGAAATGGCACAGGAGCATTTGCAGTTTTCAAATCTCAGTTCAAAAAGCCACGAAAAATACTGTCCTTCAGCAAATCCCCTGACTGAGTCCCTCATTCCTCTTCACACGGGAACTGGGATCAGGTGGGTACCTACACCCTGGCCCAGCGAGCACCATGCCCTCGAGGCACATTTTGGCCTTGGTGCTGCTGTCCACCCTGTGCGGTTCTTTTTCCTCATCCATTTAATGGGACAAATGGCATGGGTTTGGGGACAAGTCCTCAAAGCACTTTATTCATCCCAACAGTGGGCTGTAGGCGATGGCCACGCCCTTGCCCGTCCTCCAAGATGACACTTCTTTGTTGTTGCCGAGGAAATGAATCACAAAAATGTAGCTGACAAATGAATTACAAAAATGTGGCTGACGAAATGAATTACAAAAATGTGACCAACGAAATGTGGCCGACGAAATGAATCCCTGAGCGGCTGTGGTGCAAAAAGTCTCCCGAGGCTCGGGTCTCTTTATTCTTATACCCCTCACACAAAGGAGCAAACCGAACCCGTACCAAGCATCGCGAGACAGCATTTTTTGAATTGACGCAAGCGCACTACATCTAAGACATTCCTCCTAGTCACTTCCTTATCCTAAGTGTCTTTATTGTTTCCAGACCCTCCTGTTCGCTTCCTTATCCTAAGTATCTTTATTGCTCTCAGACCCTCCTGTTCCCAGGCCTGTTCCTTTTGAGGAACAGATAAACATCCTTGTTTGCAAGCGATGTTCCTCCTGGGAAGAGGAAGGGTCACTTGGCAGGAACTTCTGTTTGCAGATAAGTCCGGCCACTTCTGTGAGATGTCCCGCGTGCAGGCACACCCACAGTTTCCCTACTAAATCTCCTTCATTTGTGGTTTTTTCCATGAAGTCTAGTCAGTTCACAATATTGCATCAGTCTCTGGTGCCCAGCATCATGTTTCAGTCATACATGTACTTAACTTATATTCGTTTTCACTATAGGTGACTCTAAGATATTGAATATAGTTCCCTCTGCTTTACAGTAGAAACTTGTTGTTTCTATCGGGCCAGTAAGAGAGAAAGGGGTGGAATTCATATAGAAATTGCACAGAGTCCACAGCTCAGCTGAAACAAGCCCCAGCCATGAAAACATCTCGGCTCACGCAGTGCAGTGTGTCTCATACATGAATGTCATTCATTCGGTGCGTTGTAGGAGCAGAGAGATTGGGGAAGCTGGTCCAGACCACTCTTTTGGACCAAAATGCTTTATTGCAAGTCGTGATTGGCCAGGGGCATCCAGGCCACGGAGCGCTTTGGGGGCTAGAAGGGAGGTGGACCTGACCGCCCTCTTGGACATCCCATCACTAAGTCCAAGGAAGAGGACTTCCAGTCCAGTGGTCTCAACCTCTGACCAAAGGGACAGAAGGAGTCCAGAGGGGTATTTCAGGGATTCTGGCAATGTCTGTGAGAGAAAGACTATCCTGTGCGTGTTTAAAATGCTGTGATAAGATTCAGCCTGCCTCCTCAAAAGGGTTAAATAAGAGGTGATAAATGATAATGCCTTGGCGAGCATCAGGGTTGTTCAATCAGGGCTGTTAACCCCCCAGCAGACATCAGATTAGAAATTACGTAACATCACAGTGTGTGTTTTTAAGGTCTTAGTCATATCCCTCGATTTCAGGAGAAATATTCTTTTTGCCATGTTCTAACCTTATTCTCTAAAATGATATCTTCCATCTCAAACTCATTTCTTACCAGCGGAGGAAGAGTAAGCAACCAGACTGGCGAAATGGCAAGAGACTTGCCATCACTCGTCTGCACTCAGGCCTGTGCGGGCTTTGGTTTCAGGGTAGAGAGGGCTGAGCAAAGGTCATCTCCATGTGGAGGCTGCAAGGCGGCAGAGGGATCTTGTCCTGGGCCCACGGCTGGGACAGGCGCCATGAGAAGTCCTCACGCTCACCTGGACCTGCCTGGGTCTCCGCTGCGTGGAAATTGCAGGAAGCCCCTTCCTCCTGCTGTGTCTCTCCAGTGCCCCCTATGGAGAAACCTTAACATCGCGCTCGCTTTAAAGGAGATATGCTGAAAAGAATGCCATTGTTTATCATAGAACATATATTAATGGGTGCATTTGGAGCTGAGAAGCAATAAACTGATAACAGACACACTGTGCTCTCTCACTCACTCTCTCATACACAAACACACGCACACTCGAACACACTCACAGTGCCACGGAGACTTTTGTTTCCTTGACAAACAGACCACATCACTGTCCTGGAAGGACTACACACTGGAGACAATGATTGGATTCATATATCAGTAGATTAACTACAGAGGAAATACTGTTTGTTTCAAGATTGTAAGGATATCTATACCCGCCAGGGGGCAGCAAAGCTAAATCTTAAACTTGACTTTGCCACAGCAACATGTGGTCACGAATCACTTGGAAATTCTTCTGCTACATCAGAACTCGGAAGGGCCTTCTGAATTCTGGCTATTGGCGAGGCTAACTGGGGCTGAGAGAAGAAGGGACAACCCCAGTTACCTCTGGGAATAGTTCTTTATAATGGGAGTTTGGACCCAGGTGTCAGAGTGGACTTGGAAAAAGGATGTGATATTTCAGCCTCTTGAAAGCAGAATCGTGACAGGGAGGAGCTTCTTCCAAATCCCAAAGGAAGACAGGTACCGACTTGAGTCACAGGCTGCAGCTTTAATTTTGCTTCCTAGTCACATAGTGGGACTCAAGGAGGTGTCCTTGGTCACACCTCTCAAGCCTTTTACAGACCAAGAAACTGATGCAAATTCAGAAATTGTTCACAGACTGTTCAGAATATTGAGGAACAGAGATGGCTCTCCGCTTGTTCTAATCCTGGTGGCAACTGACCCCAGAGGTAAAGAACACACTAAATGGTCCCAGACTGGCTCCTGGATGCATGGCTTAGGGACAGCCCACAGCATGAGTGGAAAGGCAGTCAGGGGGCTTGCCTCAAAGCTTATTTGCCTAGCAAGCACTTTTGTTTTTGCTTACAGCTCTAAACCTACAGAAAATTTGCTAATTGTGTTTGAATTTAATCAGTATACACTAGTGAGAATGTGCCAATCTCCTCCAAACTAACCCAGAGGCACCTTAGCAGAGACACAAAGTCTGGACAGGGAGAGGATTGACTCCTCACCCTGAAGGGTCTGCTCCTTGGGAAGGTGCACACTCCTCAAGTTCAAGGCTGGTGGGAGGAAGGGGACTGTGGCAGATGTGGCCAGGCTTAGCCCTGCAAGGCTTTTGGCCATATCTGAGATGAATGACATTCAGCTCAGTGGGCGAAGAAAAAGCAGATGCAGACAACTGGGCACAAATGGCAGAAGCATGCTGTCCTTTGTAGACGTTCACCGTGCCCGGCCAGGAGGAAGTGTGACTTCAGAGATTCCCACGCTCTGCCCGCCGACCAGCTCGGGACCTCCGCCAGCTCTGCCCTTGCTGGTGCAGGCCCTGGAGTTTTGTGATGTGGAGTCTGTGCAGGGAGTAAGACTATTCCTTGACACAGACATGGAGGGTGAAGGTCACACACGCAGGTTCACTTTGTGAAAACTCAATGAGCTGCATTCTCCGTGTATGTATGTTACAGTTTAATGCAACTACTTTACAGGAATATACACACAAATGCATAATCAATATTTAAATGGCCAAGACAATTCTAAAAACTAAGAGCAATTTGCAGGGACCACATATTATACTATATTATAAAGCTCTTATATAGTTAGTGTGATACTGGACCCTGAATACACATACAGAGCAATAGAACACAATGAGAAGTCCAGGGCTGGGGCCAAATGTGTAGGGGAAGTTAGTACATGATAAACACACCCTCAAATCTATGAAGAAAACGTCAGTTAGTCAATGGATGATGCTGCCACCACTTGGCAGCCATTAAGAAAAAAGCCTCCAATTGTATACCAAGGTGACTTTCCAAAGCGTCAAAGCATTACAAATTATTCCTTAAGAAACTCCAAGACTATTCACTTATAAACTCAAAATGTGGATCAGTTTTATCATTATACCACAACAATCAAAAGCTCCAAAGGAAACCTTTTTTAAAGGGTTTACTTAAAAATTAACCATTTCTATGTGGCTGAAATTTAACAAAGTCAAAAGTCAAAAAACACACCAGAAGAAATTGTGCATCTCACAGCACCAAAATGGGCTAACTTCTCCAATATAGCCTGAACACCACAGATCAATAATAAAGTGATCGGCAATCCAATTAAATATTAGGTAAATTGTACAACTAGAATTTCCTGAAAACAAGAAAGGTTCCTAAACTTAATAAAAGGTCATTGAACCGACCCACTAAGAAAAACTCAAAACTACTCCGAGGTACCAGTTTTAACCTATCAGGCTGACAGCACAACGAATTTAATAACACATCGTGTTGATGAGGTAGGGAAACGCGCAAATTCATACATTGTAAGGAGTGACGTAAATTGGTCCGTGGAATAAAATTTGACGATATCTATCAACTTCATCCCTTGAAGCAGCCACTGCACTAAGGGAATTATATGCTATGTCCGTCTTCCCCGAGGAAGGATGCGCGTCATGTGTGTCGCCGCAGCGTGGTTGGCAAGCGCCCTCATCAGTACAGGGGCCACCTGCTTTTGCAGCTCACGCTGCATCCTTTCATTCTCCCCGCCGAGCTCCAGCCACACGGAG